GTCTTGTCTCAGTTACACAATTAGTTTACCTGCTCAGAAACCTCCCAGGAGGGAGCTGCTATACACAACCCTTCCATACTGCATCAACATGTAAAATGAGAGTTGTTTCATTATGATTATGTAAAATAATTACAATTACATTCACTTAACATTAAATGACGATGGAATAGGCAAGAAGCAGTATTTCATCTGAACTGTCAGACACTGTTAACCATTTTGGTAAAAGAGGTATATGAGATTTGTTCATCACTTGATATCCAGTTCCTTAGAAATAGAAAGAGGAAAAAATCAATCCACCAGGAAGTACTTATCATGTCATATACTACAGTTGATGAAACTTATTGTCAATATGCTCTCCCAAAATGCAGACACACCACTAACAGCAGCACATGGACCACCTTACAGTTGGATGGAAGCCACACCATTTAGCAGATGGGACATCTCCTAACTTCCCAGCAGCCCAGAGGAGACAAGAAGCAGCCCTTTAGGTTATAAACTTACCCAAAACAAAACTGTACAAGAAACCCTACCTGTCTGAAAGCTTTCATGCAAGCCCCTTGCATGCCACTGCCACTTTCTGTCCTGTCAGCTGAAGAGAGCCAGACTGGCAAACACCCAACTCTCCTGCAAACAGACCTGCCACAGGCTTGTGGCAACATCCAAGCACAACTGTCACCACAACACATTGTATTACTCCCAGTAATGCATACTACAGAAATTAGTATCACCCAGAAAAATTCCTGGCCACCTAACACACTGATTTACACTAAATGTAAAACTTATGTCAAGGTCCCGTGAAATGACCTTCCCGACCAAATTTGCCAGATTGTTTGGAAAGCATTTACTGTTGTAATCATACACAGAGCAGTGATTTATTTTGTTCAGACTTGATCCATTACAGAAACCATCGCAATTGTTATTCGATGTCTAAGAACGGCCACAACTCTGGCGTTGCGAGCGGTGTTTCTCTGCAACACACAGCAGACCTTGGTGAAAACATAGCGCTTCAGTAAAACCAAAGCCCTTCTTCCCGAGCTTCCTCGCACCCCTCCACACGTTGATATGCTCCCTAAACCCCTCCCAGCCTGGGACAGCGCTCAGGAACCCACTTTTTCCCGTGGCGCGGCGGAACATCCCCGGAGCCCCCGCACGGCCGGCCCGGGCCGGGAGCCTCCCGGGCCCCTCACCTGAGCCCGTGGATGAGCGGGGCGCTGTTCGACCGCCTCAGGCCGCCGCCGTCGCCCGGGGCCGCGGCGCTCCCCGGCGGCAGCTCCAGGTCCAGCTCCATCTTCTCCTGAGCCATCGCGGCGGCTCCGGCTCCTCCCGCTCCGCCCATCCGCGGCCTCAGGCCGCCGCGGCCCCGGCCCTGCCGAACCCGCGGGCGGGGGGGGTGCCGCAGCAGCGAAGCCGCATCCCGGGGCTCCGGGGGCGGCCCGTGCCCGCTGTTGGCGCTGATTCCCGCAGTCGCCGCGGCCCCGCGGGCCCCGGGCCGCTCTCCCCGGCCGGCCCCAGCGCAGGCGGGCCCGGCCGCAGGGCGCAGGCGCAGGCTCCGGCTGCGGCCGCTCGGGCGCTGCTCCGGCAGATTCGAGGTGTCCGGAGTGGGATCGTCCCCACAGCTCTCTCGCCAAGGGACACAGCGCTGATCGCTAAAGAGCGAATATGTCGCCTGAGCTGTACTCGCTCGCAGAAATAGCAGCGGAGGGTTCAGTGCAGGCCCAGACAGCTCCAGGAATAAAGGATAAAATCCAAAGTTTTCAAAATACTTTAATAGCTGCATGTGGCCCTAATTTACACCTAGAGGAGGTTGTAGTGAAATAGGTTGGAAGGTCAATGCTGCACTGGCTGGTGGACAGTGCTGAGGCTCCTATCTCTTGGGAAGAAGTGGGGAGTATGGAATTTAACAGGGCATTAGCTGTAGTATCATGGAATGGTTTGGATTGGAAAGGACCTTAAAAACCATTTTGAGACATCCCTCTTCCATGGGCAGGGACACCTTCCACTATCCCAGGTTGGTCCAAGCCCTGTCCAGCCTGGCCTTGGGCACTTCCAGGGATCCAGGGACAGCCACAGCTCCTCTGGGCACCCTGTGCCAGGGCCTCAGCACCCTCACAGGGGAGAACTTCCTCCTAATATCCAATCTAAACCCACTTGCTTTTGATTTGAATCCATTCCCCCTTGTTCTGTCAATCCAGACCCTTTTAAACAATTTCTCTCCATCTTTCTTGTAAATTTCCTTCAGGTACTGGAAGTCCACAATGAGAAGCTTCTCTTCTCCAGGTTGAATAATCCCAATTGTCTCAGCCTTTCCTCATAAGAGAGGTGTTCCATCTCTTCATCTGTTTATAGTGAGAGTTTCAGGTAGTCTTTAGGAACAGAAGTAACCAGAGGAAGAGGGTGGATTATGGAGAGCTAAAACATTTTTTCATAGGCTCCATTCTTACTAATTTACCTAAGGCTTGATGGCATTTTGTGACTGTGGCTGTGTTTATTTGACCCACAGGGGTATTTCCCTGACACTGTTGAATACCCCCCTCTTCATGCCCACTGATCCCTCTGTATCACTCTACTCACATATCTTATTCTATCAGTCTCTGTTGTCCCTCTATGAATATCCATCCTTCACCTGTGTCCTCCCAAGGCTCTGTTTAACACGTTGTCTCCTTTCTTAACCCCTCTTGCCATGGTGCTGTTTATCTAACTCAAAAACTTGTGATTTCCTCACTTCCATCATTCTGTTCCACAGCACAGCTCTCCCACAGGCACTTCCCCTTTGCCTCACTACCCTCCTCAGCCCTTTGGAGGGTCACTCTGACAGTCCCCACTTTCCTTTGTACATATATTCCCATTAAAGTTCTCTTAGGTACAGTAAATCCTGGTCAGAAAGGAGGATGATGTGCCTGGCACTGGAAAATTTGAGGACATAAAACAGATGTTTTTGAGCTCTCAGCCACATTTTGGATATTGCTGACTTTTTCCTTAACAGTATCCTGGTACATGTCATTTGAAGCTGTTTGCTGCCCTTAGTGGCAAAGACATAATGCAATAATTCCACAATAAAAATAAATAGCAAAATCCACATCGTTTAGTGCTGTAGTCAGATCCTGCAGTTGGTTTTTGTATTAAGCAAACCAGAATATTTGTAAGTAGATTTCCATTCAGAGCTACAAGTTTTGCTAGGAACTTTCACCTGAATTGCCTTTTAGGCAATTCTAGCCATGGAAAATGAAGGTATGGGAGCTATTCCAAGCTGTGAAATGCTTGTGCTGAAGCACCAGACAAGGAGAATGGTGCAGGTTCTGTAAAAGTGTCACATTGCTTTTAGAGAATGGCTGCAGTGAAAGTGATTAACAGTATATTCCTTTCACAGCTGCAGATCCTAATTTTCCAGTGAATCAGACTGGTCATAATTATTAGAAATTAAGCAAAATTATTTAGATATTTACCTTCTCAGTCTTTGCAGGAGATAACAATTCTGTATCACCTCACAGAAGGATGTCATTACTGGCTGTGATAGGCCATAGGATAAGGGACATAGGACTGTGAAAGTTATTTCTCCTCTGCAGTCATAAGGAATAAGAATTAGGAATGTTTCTCTGTGTTTTTCAATATAAATATGTATAAAAAAATCCTATAAATATTTTAAATGTAATCTTGTGGGTCTTTTAACTCAACTCCATACATCTTTGTGAGTGTCAGCACAAAGTTCTTCATTAATAGTATTTCAGTGAAAGAAATGTAAGTATCAACAACAGCTGATGAGGCATAGAGTCACTTAACGTATTAAAATGAAATATGCTCAAGTCAGTCTTGATTAACAAAAAATGCAAGGAGGTACCATAATAAATATTTCGGTACAGAAGCAAGAATTCTAATCAGTTACCTAGAAGCATCTACCTTCAGTAATTTTAAATTAAGAAAGTAATTAATGTAGCCATGTTCCCAACAAAGGTAGTTGAAATGTTGAAAAATCCTAACTTTTCTATCTTAACAGTTTCAACACCTAGCACTCTGGCAAAAGAACTGCTTTATCCCAGGAGAAAATGAAGATTTTTTAAAATTTGGTGCTGGGAAAGACCCTGAAGCCCCCTGCATGTAAGAGACAAATACGTATGATGCAACTGTTATTGCAGAAAAATAATCTAAAATAAGCACAAACTTTGATGCTTTGATCACTTGCAGTGGGTTTGCCCAGGTCGGTCCCAAACCTAAATACAGTCAAGAACTAGGATCACATCTCATAAGGAATGTTACGCCAGGTTTCTGAAAGCTGAGCAAGACTCTCGTTGCAATCAAAGCCCTCGTGCTTCAGCAGCTAGGAAAAGCTGGGGAGAACACTGGGAAAGCCTGCGGGACTTAGGTCGGAGAGGGTCTAATCTTGAGGAAGGTTGTAAAACCTCTTCCCCACTAAAACGGGTGCCGGGTTTGTGGCCGCGGTGGGACTCGAACCCGGATCTTGACCCAGGCCGCGCTCCCGGCCGCGCCCCCTCGGCGCGCGCGTCCTAGCGACCGTTGCAGCGTTTCAAACACACACACGCTCCCGCCACAGCCAATCAGCGCGTGCACCGCCCCGGGGGCTGTCGGGAGCTCTCCCGCCTCCGAAGCAGTGCCGGGGTGTGGAGCCACCGCGCATGCGCCGTGCGAGGCGGGCGGTGCTGCCTGCGCCCCGATTCCCGCGCACGCGCAGTGCGCGGCGGCGGGCGCGGAGCGCGGTCGGCACCGAGGGAAGCGCCGGGAGCAGCGGGAGTGCTTCCACCGCCACCGCGGGCAGCGGCACCGGCAGCAGCCGCTGGAGGAATTGGCAGCCCCCGGGCCGCCCCCGGGATGCGGCGCTGCTGCGGCCGCCCCCCCCGCCGGGCCCGGCGCGCCCCCGGGCTGAGCCCGCGGCGCCGCCCGCGGGGCCTGTAGGGCCGGGGCAGCGGCGGCCCGAGGAGCCGCGGCGGCCGCCGGCAGTGAATGGGCTCCGCGGCGGGGCGGGAGGAGCCGGAGCCGCCGCCGCCGCGATGGCTCAGGAGAAGATGGAGCTGGACCTGGAGCTGCCGCCGGGGAGCGCCGCGGCCCCGGGCGACGGCGGCGGCCTGAGGCGGTCGAACAGCGCCCCGCTCATCCACGGGCTCAGGTGAGGGGCCCGGGAGCTCGGCTCATCGAGCCCTGGGGTCGCCTCTGCCCGCCGGCATCGCCGCGGGCCTCGGCCAGGCCCGGCGCTCCCTCAGCGGCCTGTGGATCGTGTCCCTTGTCCCGCGGGGCCGGCGCCGCCAGTGCCCGCTTGTCCCCCCTCGGCTCACGGAAGGTGCTCGTCGCTCTTCCAGCGATAGCAGTGCTGCTGTTCAAATAAAATAATGTTTTCAGCCCTCTGGAGACTGCAGTGCATGTCACGGCACTGTGGAGCTTTGAGCAAAGATCACTCAAAAAAGCTGTTCACAAAACTTTGTTTTCCCCCCCTGCAGTGACAGCTCCCAGGTGTTTCAGCCTTACGTGTTGCGGACTCGCAGGAACAGCACAACAGTTATGAGCCGTCATGGAATGGTGAGGAATCTTAAGCATGTCATGTTTACACACAACGAGGAATAGTTGGAGTAAAGAAATGAAGTTAAACTTGATTTATATTTGCACTAAGCGTCCTAGCAAGCTTCCAAGCAGCAGAATAAGCATTTTTTCACCTCTAACTACAACCTATAATGAAATAATGCTGGTATGTTGACTGTGTGTCCCCAAGAAGACGAGTAGTTGACATTATATGCGACTCCTCATATTAAGTCCAGTTTTAAAGTTAGTTAAAACCTTCTGTCAGAATTAAAAGTCTCGAAAGGGTGTTTTACTTTGTTGTGAAAATGGATGAGGGAGTCACAATTCTTAGTTGACCTGTTTGACATAGTACTCTTTTTTTGCAAAGTCAGAACACTAGACCTCAGAAAATCACTGAAAGAATAGGAATTTATTTGTTGCTCTCTGTTTTAAGTCTCGTAGTAGTGTACACTACTGCAGTTGTTTAACTTCTCAGAGATGTTGCATTTCTTTTTTTCTACCCCCTCCTTGTCAGGTGAGAGATTTATGTGCTCCTTCCACTGAAATTTTTCTGTCTTGACTGAGTGAAGATTAAATATTGCTTTTCTCAAAACCTTAAAGTCCCAACATAAGTTTCCTTTGTGCCTTCTGTTCAGGAAAGGTGGCAGGGATTTTTAATTCAAAGTCTTCTTTTGTGAGATTTCTTAAGAATCCAGAATTTTGGAGCTCGTCAGTAGGTGTAGCATTGGACACACAACTATTCTGAGTGGGAACTGTTGGCCCATTTATACGTGATGTTAAAGTTCCAGAGGAGTTAGATGCATAAAATTACACACAACTGAAAAATTGCATAAATGAGTCTTTAGGGAATGTCGTTCAAGACTGACTTGAAGCACTGAGATTTCTCCTTTAAAATAGCCCACTGGTTGAGTAAGGTGTCCTACGGGAGTTTGTAATATCCTGGGCAGCGGGGAATTGTGTAACAATCACAGTTTCATTTGTAGTATCTCCCTTGTCTTAAGTGGCATCTGTAGCTATTTCTGTACTTGAGATGCTGAGCAGTATCTGCCTGCAAGTCAGATCCCTGCCACTTGCTGAGTGATACAAGGAATTTGTAAGTGGTAAAACAAGTCTTTTCTCTTGAAGGTCAGTGTTTGCTTTTTTGCAATATTGTTTGTCATCCACATGTAGTTGTGCAGCTCATTTTGAACTCCCTAAGAATGTAGTCGATGGTAAATAGTGTGTATGCAGGCAGTTGTGTGTGATTTAATCATTGTGGCTGTCACTTTTTTTCCTAGTTCTTGTCATCATCTCCTATTCGTATTCCTAGCAGCCGACTTCATCAGATCAGAAGGGTAAGTAGTTTTTATCTGTGTGTTCAGTAACAGAATGAAAAATGCTATATGATACTGAAGTACTTGCAAAGTTTCTTTCCTATTGAGTTTTTCAAGTACTAAAGAAAATGGAGTATTTCTTGAGACTTAATTTCAACAAGGAAGTGGCCTTGCAAGGCTTATTGTTGTGTTTAAGCTACCTTGCATTTTAGAAGTATTTAACTTAAGAGAAGCACTGAGACGGACTGGTGGCTGTCCTGTCTTTCTGTAGTGGTTCTGCTGTTCATATTTCAATCCTGATGGCAAATAATGGAATCACAAGTATTATTTAAAGTATCTGTGATGAATCAAATGTTATGGGAAAACTTAGGATGTTTATCTCTTGCAGGAAGAAGGAGTGGATTTAATGAACAGAGAGGCAGCACATGAAAGGTGAGTGTTACTGAAAGAAGGTGATAAAATACCCAGAGTTATCCTCTTTGTAGCTACTGATGGGGTTTTTTGTATTCTAGGGAAGTGCAGACAGCAATGCAGATAAGCCAGTCATGGGAGGAAAGCTTGAGCCTGGTAATCTTTTTATAGATGTTTCCTATTTAATTCTACTTTTACACTCAAATGACAAATTTAAGGGAAAGAGAGGAATTAACTGTGAAACTAATTTAAGAAGAATTTAAGCTCATCTGCTTTAGCTACTTTGTGCATTTGACCAATGACTTTCCATTAGAAGGTTGTGCCTTGGATTTCAAGGTAATGTCCTGTGCCAGTGTTAAGTCTAAAACCTTGTATTCACAGAGCGACAATGACTTGGACAAGTCTGAGAAATCTTTTTCCCCAAAGAGAGTAGACTTCATTCCAGTTTCACCTGCACCTTCACCTACAAGAGGAATAGGAAAGGTAGGATAAGTGAATTACTAAGCTGAGACAGTATTTCAGAATTCTAGACCAAGCTGAACTATCAAGATGTGTAAATTCACAAATTGTTCCATAGTTTAAAAAAATTCTGAACAACACAACCAAACAAGCACCAAAAAAGCCAAATGCATATTTTGTTGGTTTCTTAGTATCAAATGGTTGCCATCTGGGAGCCTGCAAAGTTTAAGGATGTTTTCAGTTTCTGCTGTTTTCAGTTTCTTTCAGTGCGGTATTTGAGTGGGTTGGGGTTCTGCTTCTAGGGAAGCTGGAAGAGGTCAGGAAAGTAGTCGTGGCCAGGATCTCCAGGTGCAGAAGTGGGGGGATTTTGGGGAAGAAGCTGCAAAGTTGGACTGCAATTCTGTGTGGTGAGAGATAAAAATGTGTCCATCAGTTATGGAAAGGATGGCACAGATGCACTCTGAAGTAGGACTTGGGTGTGTTGAACTCGTATTGAAAACTGGATGCCACAGAAAGGTGGATGTTAGATAAACTACTTTACCAGTGAGGACTGGAAAACTGAAATGTAGCACAGAGAAACTGGCACCTGGGTTTAAAGATGGGCTGCTTGACCTTGTTTGCACCCTCTTGTGTGACTCTGCTTTCGTACAAAAAAGGAGCAATCTGTGTGCTCCTACCAGATTGGTGCATGTAACAGCCACGTATGAGTGCTGGGTAATGTGTTCCTGGGAAAACACTGATGCTGGCAGCTGCTCCTGTACCTTTGGAATTCTGACTATAAATCACTAGCAGATAACTTAACAGAAAGGTTTTTATGTTTTACTAGAAGTGTTCATACGCTAAGCTCAAATTAGCTGCAGAATCACAGAGCTAAATATCCTATTTTTTATCCTATTTTTTTTTTCCTATCCTATACTCTGGAATATCGTTAGTTTTCAAGTCAGTTGTATTTTGAGTAAACTCTGACTACTGTACTGCTGTTTTTAAATGTAACAAAGAACAGAAGCAATTCTTTTCTTTAGAGAAAGTGTCTAGTTCAATTTTACTTCTTTCATGGGTTTCAATTTTAGCTTAATCTGAGCAGAATTGCATGGGCCAGTATGTTTTTGTAAATTAAGTTCTAATACTTTTAAGATTATATTTGATAATCTGCATAATCTGTTGCTAGCTTTTCTTTAAGAATAAAAGGGGAATAGAAGAGGGGATGTTTGTTTTGAGGGTGTAGTGTAACATCTGAGTATTTTAAAAGAAATTCTGGACTATCTTCATTTGAACTTTCTTCCTGCAGCAATGTTTTTCACCATCATTGCAAATGTTTGTGAGCAGTAATGGATTACCTCCAAGTCCTATTCCCAGTCCAACAAGGCGGTTCTGCAAGTAAGTCATGAGTGTCTGTTGTGCTAACATTGGAATTTAAGCCAGAGATTAATTAAAGTTGATGTTAAGGCATTAAAAGAGACTTCAGTTTTACAACTGCTGAAGCATTGCCACATAAAAATGCTCTGAAAGTTCAACCTTTACCTATGGTAGCTTTATGTGTGTGCTCTTATAGAGCATGTGTCAGCTTTACACTAGACATGGTAACTTGAGGGGAAGTTCTCAGGTATTTCAAATTAACTTTGTCAGCAGATGAGTTTTATATAAATGCACCACAACATTTAGAAAAAAATATAAATGAGGATGTGATTCCCTCAGGGAAGGAGAAAACCTTAGAAAATTCACAACTTTGTGTGGCAGATAATCTGCTCTAATAGGCAGCCCTTATTTGTTATCTATGTATTTAGATTCCACAAGAATTCGAGTTGTGCAGGAATAGTTTTGAAGAATGCTTCATATGCTGTGGTTGTGTTGATTTGATGCAAATTGGAACCTTTACAGGCCTGACTCTCAGTATCCTCTCTTCAGCAGGAGGAGTCAAAGTCCAATCAACTGTATCAGGCCCAGTGTTCTTGGCCCCATTAAAAGAAAAGGTGGGTGTATTTACCTTACCAGATGTTTTAACATGGATGTAGTTTTCTAGCTGGATACTTTTTTTTTGTTATTTTGTAAGTATAATGCACTTGTATCCAGAGTGAACTGGAATTTGCCAGGCATAACTCAAAAATACAATGTAAAGTAGCTATTCTAAAACACAGGAATGAAAAATTTAAAAAAAAAAAACAGCTCCTGCTTGACAGAGGCAATCTTTATTATACATCAAATTAAATGTCAGCTTACAAATGTTCATAACATTCCTACAAGTAGCACTGAACAGTGCACACCCTTCAGATCGTCTTAGGAATGTTGCTTATCATGCAGTATCTTCTAAACTTAGTACTGAATGTTTGTTTTCACTCTTAAAGTTGAGAAGGTGAGTGTTTAGAGAAATGGAATAGATCAGTGCCCTTTCCTCCTGAAAGGGGTAAATGCATTCTTTCCTGGAACTGTTCCATGTTAGAGATTTTCAAGTAACATCCCCAAACAAATTTCTACAATAGAACTATGAGAATGAGATATTCTTCTAGTGTGCCTTTAGCTGTGCTTATCCTTTTTTTTTTTAACTTAGGCATTCTTAACTGCACCACAAACATCCTTTTATTGTACAAGACTTACATTTAGGCTTTGAGAAAAGTTACTCTTTGTTGTTTGGCTTTTTTTTTCAGTACTGCTTGTCCTGTCAGATAAAGAACATTGTCTAACTGATACTGATTTGACAGAGAAGAGAGACAAGTTTTCTCATAGATTTCAGTTCTGTCTTGGATTTTATTTTCTATGAATTTTAGAGGCATGAAAACTGAACAAAAGTTTATTAAGCTAAATGATCAGTGAATAATAAATATCCACACTTACACTTCACACAAATTGTAGAAGCAGTGTAGGTAGAGAGACAGGCCTTTCCTCACCAAATCCATGTACTTCTGTGGAGCATCTTAAAGTGGAGATATGAGTTTTCCTTTTCTTGCTTGAAATATCAAGGAGTTTTCAAAATGCTGCTTAATTTTGAAACCTCTTATCTATTGAAATGAACTTACTTTCTTTTCCTAAATATGTGGTCCTGTCTTTTTCTGAATTTTAGCAGTAGTTTTATAATAGGAGAAGGAAAGCCATTAACTGAAGAAATTTTCACCACCATAGGGAATTAATACTGGTGGACTCTGCAATGTGTTGTAGCAGTGCAGATTTGTCTCTGTCAAATTTTGGGGGCAAAAATGTTACCTAAGTTGGTGTTTCATTCATATTTCTGCAAGACTAAGTATCATATAAATGTTTTTTACCCATTCCTAGAAGCAATTATTTCTTGCCTTAAGAGAGGAATGTATCTCTGTGGGCTGAAGGAAATGAAAACTTTGGAAGTTACCAGTCTTGTATAAAATGTAGCAGTGTGATTATGTTCCAGAATGTATAGACTGGTTTGCTATAATGCTTAACCTCTGTCAGTTTTTCAAACTGAATCTACAACTACTGCAAAGTGTAGGTAAAAGCTGGAAAAATTATTACTATTTCATGCTTTTTTCCTTTCCAAAGTAAAAATGAAAATATACTGTGAGAGGGTTTTCTTTTTTTTTAAATTTATTTTCAAGTTCATAATATTTTCAAATGTCTGTTGTAGAGCAGCTATTAGTGAGCCAGCTCATTCTCATGGCAGATTATACTAAACAGATTACATTCATTCTCCCCATCATATTTAATGTCTTAATTTCTGTAGATGGTTATAGGTACAAAGACAATCTGATCGACAATGAGTAAGTGGAAATACTTCCACATGACAAATTTATTCAGTTCAGCTTTCCTGTTAAAGTGTACCCATGCATCAGAATTTGGTGTATAGGGGAGGGTGAAACTAAACCCAGCCATAATTCTTATTTTCATAATCACTAACAATTTTAAACTTCTTATTTTGACTTATGTCAGTTACCTCATCTCAGCTGTTTATTTAACACTAAGTCATGGTAATTTGTTTGCTTTAGATTATTTTGTCTGATTACAGTACAAGTAGAAAGTTTTATGTCTTTGATTTCATTGTAGCCTCTCAGATACTGCTGAAGTTTTAGCTAAGGATGGACTGAATGGTCTAACAACAGCTATCATCAAAATAATGTCATAGGCAGGTGCTTGGTTGGCTGAATTAGAGAACTTGTGTTACAAATGCAACCTTGGAGTGTTGTAGGTCAAACCTCTCTTTTACAGCAGACAAATTTTAAATAGATATTCCAGAAACTCAAGTGAGTTTGATTATTTGCATTGTTTTCTTTAGGTGAAATGGAAACTGAAAGTCAGCCAAAGAGACTTTTCCAAGGAACAACCAACATGCTTTCTCCAGATGTTACACATCTGTCAGATCTCAGTTCATGGTAAAATATTTCATGTGCCCTGAAATGCCAAAACAGGGAATGTGCATTTATTACAGGCTTTCTAGTTTTCTTTTCCAGGAAAAAAGTAGTTTGTGTGTATCTTGTGGATGTGTATTAGTGGGAGCTGTCCTGTGACAACTGTCCTTCTCCTCTGATCAATTCTTCCTGAACAGACTTGAGCCTAGATTTTGTGCATCAAAGCTTTCATGCTGAATATAATTGTTACAAAGCCCTGTTAATTCATAAGCAAAGTTACTTTGCTTCATCATTGCAGTATGTTGTAGGCATTGGTAATACAGTGTCTGTGGCACTTCACTGAATACTTAGAAAATGTGTGTGGGTACTTAATTGTTCTTGTTCCCAAGTTCATGACTTTTAGAGTTAAGTTATCTTTCTTTGTTACAGTCATAAAATACCAAAGGTTTTTTTTGTGTTGAGTCAGATACTAAGTATTCAAAAATACCAGCTGTTATTACTGTAATTTCAGTTTACCTACAGACTTGAAACTGCCTAGATGTTTTTTTCCATGCTGCTTCCCCCTAAATTGCAAAAGCATCAATTTATGTGTGCTCTGGGATCTTGTATCTAGACTTACAAAATCCAAACACAGGAATTCTGTGAGAAAAATAGGTTTCAATCTTGCTTTGAGTAATGCCGAGCATACCAGCTAACTAATGACATCTTTGGTGCATTGCTGATTAATTTATTATTTTTCTTTTACTATAAGCTTTAAGGGTTTTATACTTATTTTTTTATCACCTCCTTTCTACGTCTGATTAAAACCAGCTTCATAATTTATTCTGCATGTTAAAAAAACACAATAATTCTGCTCTTCATTCCCGTGAGGAGCATGAATATCTCTAACATGCTACAGAAAACAAGGAGTTTTCAGGGCTGCCAGTCTTGCAGTAAAGACTGAGTGGTAGTATAGGTCTCCTACAAGTCCTGTCCGAAGGGGAACACGTCAGCTTTGTTCAGAGCCTCGTGCCCCTGCACTGAAGGACCTTTTTCCCTTTCCCCAGCTTGTCCTCGGATATTCTGGATGGGAGTAGCAGCAGTGTTGGCTCTTCCTCTGATTCCCTGACTAAAGGCAGCATCACCACGGAGTCTCCAGTGACATGCTCCAACTCCTGCTCCTCGTTCATTCTGATGGATGACTTCTCACCCAAGTGACTTTACCAAGTCCTGAGTCAGTGGCTGGCTGTGCTGTCCCCTTCCTGTACACTCGTACAGAGAAATGAACTCTGATCCTTGAACCATTCATATGAGGTTTATTAAAAGGAAAAATTGTTGTTACTGTAATCCTTGGCTACTTTCCAGTGATTTTTTTTTTTTTTTAATTTATCCATTTAATGGACATTGTAGACCATATTAATGTCTGGTTTTGCGAATTTATTTTTTAGACAAGATGTCTGCTGATATTATACTAACTTTTGCTTTCAGGAACTTGCATACACTTTATGATTCCAGAAATAGGTATCTACCTATTAGTGTTGCAATTTTTAGGAATGTACTTCTATCATTATCATGGTCACTATGTCTAGGGAAATAACTTGGTTTGGAAGGATTTGAAAATACTAATTTATTCTCTGGCACTTCTACTATTGAGTAAAGTTATTCTTGCTTTTGTTGGGTTTTTTTTTTTTTTTCAGTCACTAGCCTCAAATTCCTTTATGGAAGGGAGAAAAAAATATTTTATTTTCTTAGTGCTGCTAGTCATTTTTATGAATTCATTTACAGAAGACAACATTGGGTGTGGAAATCTCACTCTATTACATTAAACTAAAAACCCCACAGCAAAATAACTAATGACTGTCACTTTTGCCATCAGTGAAGAAATAATGATACTCTAGAAACATGATTAAATTAGCTGCATAGTTCTCTTCCCAGAACATTTGTCTTACAGTTTGTATTAAATAAGGTCATTATTCATCAAGATTTGGGCAGGAAAAATTAATCCACACCTCGATTGAAGACATACAGTGCAGATAAGTTAATTAAACTACTGTGTAGGAGAACCATGTACGGCACCATCGATGTCTCCTGTGGCATTGAGGTCATAAGTATTTTTGTGCCTTAGGGGACATTGTTACAAAATTATGGAATGTAAACCAGAGGGGTGGGTGGGGAAAGTCCTTTGTGTACAGCTTGTTTATAGAGTGCTTACCCAAGTCTGTCGGCGGTGCTGCTTCCCTTAGTGTTCCTTTCCGAGGTGTGGAGGTGCTGGGGGCAGCCCCAGCTCCGAGGGGCAGCCAAGGTGAGACCTTTTGCAGCTGCTCTGGGCAGAGTTTGTCCCTTTGTTGGTCAAGAGCAGAGCAAACAGCTCAGCATACGTTTGATTCCAAAGGAAAGGCTTTGGATTGGATATGAGCTCTGCAGATTGCTTGGTGAAGGAGTTTTCTTTGAGCTATGAGTAGTCTTGATACAGTACCTTGGTCAGTCTGAGGTAGGAACAGATATTTTACTTTTTAAAGACTATAACGGGGCAAAATAAATCCGTTTGTAATCTACTGTGTTATGCTATTTATTATTTATAACTCTGTAAAAAGTCTGTGGTGATGAATTATAGTATTTTTTTATGATTGAATAAGTTTTTTATGTTCAGTAATTGCTGGCTGGTTTGTATTTAATACGCAACATTGTCTGCCAGAATCATAAGCTTCCATTTTTGAATGTTTGTAACATAAATGCTTTTGTTACTTAAAAGTACAATTTGTGATCTTTCTGAAAGAAAATAGCACTGAATTTAAAGTAAGATTATGTGCTTTAGATGTGAGCACAATCTCTGGCAATACTGTCTGGCTAAAAGGGGAGGGGGAGAACCATAGTTTTTTTCTGTTCTGAAGAAGCCGTTGGGTATCCAGAAGACATGTACATACCAGATTATTTTTAAAAGTGTTTCCATTAAATTGTAAGAAGTACCAGAATGGGCCAATAGTGGCACTATTATTTGTATGATCATTTCCACCCGTGGAGCATTAGTTCCCCACTTCAAATAAATGTGCATATTGTAAAATATTGTCCACTGGTGCCATTTTTAAATGAGCTCTACAGTATTGAATGTTAATTTTGTTTGTATATGCACAGTGCTATTTCTTGAATTTTTGATGTCTTAAGTTGCTTAATTATTTTTTTATTCATGTCTGTATCTTCTCTACCTTCTTGGTGTTTAAAGAAGGCTGCTTTTCCATTTGCAAAATATTGATAAACAGTCTGTGATAAAATCCAACCCTGTTACCTGTGCCCCAGTTCCCTTCTACTGTGCTTTTACTGTACTGTGATTTAGAAACCTGAACGAGGGGTGGCAGGAGGGGGAAACCTACTGCATGCTTTCTTAAACCTGAGAAGAGCATAGCTATTGCTTAATTTTGGCTGATTTACCTGTACAATTGATGTATTCCAGATTCGTTTGTTAGTGGAGAGTCCTATCTGAGTGCTGGCCTCTGTAAACATTCGAATGTAAGCTGCATAAAGCAAGCGCACAAATAGTCACTCTTGTTACAGCAGTTTTTTGTAGTGTTCTGGCTATTCCCCACTCTTGGAAGGTCTTGTAAAAGACATTGCTCTTTTATAAAATATATACATAATGCACACACTCGCTGTGTCTGTTGTTTCAGAACGAATGGTTGTCACTGTGTAATAGGCCCGAGGTAGGCCCAGGTTGTCTTTCACACTCCTAACACAAGTTGTTCATTTTGAAACAAAGTTTTCTAATATGCTGCTCATTAATACTTGCACTTAACTGCAGTTGAGTTGCCACTGCTTGGAGGGTTCATTGATACTGTAGTATACCCTGACTAAAACTGACTACAAGGTGCATTTCTGGATTTCTTACCCACCTGGTCTGAGGGAATTAGACACCAGTTGGGAGAGAAGGCCAGCTGGTGCTGGTAGTCAGCTTTAAAGTATAACTGTTGACATTTAACAACTGTTTTTTATGACTTCACTAGACTTAATTATGCTGAATTGCCATGATGAGTGTCTGAGAATTCCTGTCTTTCACCCACTTCCTTCTTTTTATAAGGGATCATTAGTGCATATCTGTCGTTGAGAATCACAATGATGAGTTACCTTTAATGTTTTAATAGTTGAGAACCAAGTTAGAATACCTGTGTAATTCAAACAGCATTTTAGATGGAGTATTCTTAATATGTTAATTAGCACAGCATTACAGCAGTGGTCCTTTGTACAGCTCATGGACCAGCACTGCCCTTAGATCATATCCAGAGCACGCTGAATCCTCATTTCATGGGCTTAAAATGCTGGAAGGATTTTACCAATGGTTTAGAAAAATGTGTGTGTCAGCTGTGCAACTCTGTATGTTTTGATAATATCAAGTGTTCTGCATCAGGAAATGGATCACAGTGTGCATGTTTCATTCTCCTTCATTGAATTTCAAATTGGGGGATCATGGGCCCAAAAGCCAGTATTTAAGAGGCTGTTTTTCTGACTGTATGTGATTAAATACTTTCTCCTACAATGCAAGTAATTAAACTGTCAGTGGGTGAGGATGTAAATCTGAGTCCTGCAGACTTTATTGGAAAACTCATTCTTGAAAGGCTCGAGGAACTCTATACTACATAAAAACACTAAAGCAGGATTTTGTTTTAAAATTATTTTGTAGGTCATGATGAAAATAGAGAACTCATTTTAACAACTCAAAATGCTAAAAACGTTTTAAATGCAAGGGTTTAGCTTGGCATATTTCTCCAGGCAGGTCCACACTGGGGGCTGTTTGCAGAAGTGAACTTGAGCAGGCTCAAGCAGATTTGGAACTGAGGTTCTGGTGCACAAACACAATAGACTGGCCCAGGGAAATAAGTTTTTGCAAATATTCACATTCTTATCTGTAGACAGTGCTAATACATTTTGTGACAACAAAGATGAGAACTTGTTTTTCCTGGAAGGAATTTCACTGGCATATAATTTTCTTGGTAACTTCATAATAAAAAAAGCTTTGCATTAATATGAGTTCAAGAATTTAATGAAGTCATAGGCCTGTTGCATTTGCTTTTTTGAAGTAAAGGCCAAGGAATATTTTTGGAGCTATACAAACTGCCCCTTGTATTCCAAGTCTATTACATGAATGGCAGCTGTCCATAGTAGATGGAAAGGAACTTTTCCTATCATTGTGTATTTTAGTTGCTCTTGAGGCTTGTTAAATATAATCCTTGGCAAATTCAGTGTAAGATGGGTCACTGGAGGTACCAGAAGACCCAGTGAGAAGGAAGTAGTGACTTGTTCCCGTAACTATAAATTAAGAGTTTTAGCCTTGAGTTAATCTTACCCAGCTAATTTTCTAAGGAAAAATGCATTTTTCAGACAACTGAGACTTTTCATGAGGGTCTGCCCTGTTCAGACTTGGAGGAAAAGGCTCCTTGTGGGCAAGTCTAGGGCTGTTCAGCTTAATCCACTTCAAAAAGAGGGGGCCATGCTTGCCCATCAGAACTGGAGTAACATTGTCTCAGTTCCAGCTGGTTTTGGGGAGGGCAGGGATTTGGTGTATAGGTTTCCTTAAGGGCTGGTTATCTGATTCCCAAAGGTCCCAGCAAGGACCTTTGTCATCACGGTAGAATCAGAAGTAGATTGTTTTTAGGGCAAATCTGTTTTCTGAGGGAGCAATTGTTGCTGCAGAGCTGGTTTAAGGGTGACAGTCGGGGTTTGCTTCCTGCTGCAGGGACAGGGCTGCTGTTCCTGTAAGTGCAAAGGCACAAAGCCCTGTAAAGTGTCCCTGCACCTCAAGGCTATCCCTTTATCCCTTTAGAGTGGACTGGGCACTTGGTGGAAGTCTCTTGTTTCAATCCAAACCCTTTTTGCATTCAAGCTGCTTTTTATTACTTGCTCTTAGATCTTAAAGCCTTTTGGTTTGAGTCTTGCCTCCGATTAGTGTGCCAGGGCCAGCATTTTCTTTTTAAACCTGAAGAAATTTGGTTTGTTGTTCTTGCATTATAGAACTTGGAGATGGGGAGGAGGTGGATTCTTGCTATTAACAAAGAATGCATGTTACCTTGGATGATCACAAAAGATTGTAGGGGTTTAAAAGAAATGAGACTTGAAAACACAGAACAAAGAAATGCCTATTTTTAGTGAACCATTTTGGCTGGTTTGATACCAGGCTCCTTCTCTAAACACAGGCAATAATCTTTTGAGCATATTTTTAGTAGCAGCAACAAAACCCGATGTGCTTCCACCTCTAAAGTCTTCTTACTGTAAAGTAAGAATTTATTACTGAAAGACCACAAGTTTTGTTCATCTCTAACCAACCAGGCCAGATCTCTCTTGGTCTCAGCCTAAGTTTGCAGTAGCAAACTGTGATTCATTAGGCCAGTTAGTGACACCAAGCTGTCAATTCCTGTCTGTCCAAAAAGCATCATCTTACACCATTGTTCTTCCTTAGCTTATTTCTGAGGGCCATAAAATTTTATTACCTTTTATACAAACACAGTTATGATTTACTCTTGATTACTACAGGTTGCCTATCTTACTGAGTAGCTGTGGTAAAATTTCTGGTGGACTCTTGCCTGTCTCTCATCTTGGGGTATAAGAGTTTGGTATTTTTGGTTATTTTTCAGATAATGCAATGTCTTCTGGAAGAATTTCCATTGTGATTTGATTCTGAAAGGTGTTTGGATACAGTTTATGCCAAAGTAAGTCCTATTTGACAACATGAGTTAAATGAATCTTGGAGACAATGACATGAGATTTTTTTTCAGAAGATGAGTAGCTTAACCCCTGCATTACCTAAGGAAACCTATTGCATTCTGCCACCACTTTTGAAAGTTGAGTAAATTGGCAGAAGCTCCCAGCTATTATTTGTGTTTGGATAGTTTAGAACACAGATTACGAAAACCCTATTGTGCTAGAACAAAAATATTTTCCTTCCTCCAAATAATTTGCAATTTAAATTTGTCATGAGAACTGTAGTTGTTTATCAATGCAATGTGTGCTCGACTATTTTTCCAGTATGCAAAAGTTAGGGTTTGTGATAGACAAGTAAGAAGCAGGTGGTATTAAAAACTGTGAGCCCATGTAAAATAAAGAATGTAATGGAAGTTAACTAATCCAGCATCTAAATATAAAAGCTGGATCTGTTCTCTGACAAAGCTCTACAAGCCCCTAAAATTTTGGAAAAATTCAGCTACTGCCATGAACTTAACAGCCCTTTCTCAACCCTAGTTAATGTCAACACATCCCTATCTATGAGCAGGACCTCCAAGAATTTGGAAGAAAAATGAATGTGAAAAGGGGGAGCTAGAATAAAAATGTCTCTGTGCATATGATGTATGAGTACTGGTTTGAAAAATGTTACAAGGTACAGTGAATTGGGACAAATGTGCTTTGAATAAGAGTTGAGGATGTGCTATGTAGAGTACGTGTAACATCTTGTTCGTGTGCAAGAACAGACTGTGAAAGAAACAGCTTTGTGTGGGAGAAGCAACATCAAAGCCCCTGAAAGAACTAGTGCTGTAATAGGAAACATTTGCCTTTGAGGACTCCTTTTGCTTCTGGTCACTTCTTATTTTTTTTTTCCTCTTTTTTTCCCCTCCTGTATTAAAACACAGCAGCTGAGCAATGAAAAGAGAAGGGATAGGGTGAGCTGGGTGGGCAACAAGGAGGGATATGGAGGGCCAGCTGAATTTGTATGGGATTTCACATCTCCCCTCCCACCCCCTTCACACGGAGTTTGCATCAGCCTTGAAGGCTGTGCTTGTGTTTGTTGGACAACCAAAGCAAGGCTGGAAGCTCAGCCCGGTGTCCTTAGCTGAAAAGTTAGCACACCTTTTTGGATTGTCAGCTTCTGTCAAACGTGTCCTAGATGTGGGGCAAAACTCTTCCTGGGGGCAGAGTGGGAATGAGAGGGGAATTAAGGGTGTGGGAGCGGGACAAAAGTGCCCCAGAAGCTTTGGGCACCGTGGGAGAGCAGGAGTGAGCTGCTGGGACAAGGGACTGTGGATAACTCCCCGTAAGTGATGAGGGAATGTCACAGGAAGGACGTGGCCTGGCAGCAGGCTGGGGCACACGCTCCGTGTGGGGAGCGCCACGGTTTCCCTGCAGGGCCGGGGCTCTCCTTGCTGCCCGCTGAGGGAGAAAGGCTGAATGCAGGCAGCAGCCTGCCCCAGCCACATCCCCAGCCTGCACCTCTCTGGGGGTTGTTTTGGGGAAGCAGCAGAGCCTTTTCAGCCTTGCTTTACATCAGCAACAAAGATCATGGAGCACGAAGGGCTCGGAGCGAGCCCCAGCGCCAGCGAGCAGCGCATCCCTGGCTGTGCCGGGAGCTCGGGAGCAGCTGGGGAGGTTTGTGGGGATGTGGATGGCCACGGGATGGCGTCTCGTGGCTTGCAAAGCGCAGGACTGTGCTTGGTGAGCAGCGGTAACAGTGCCTGAAGTGCTCTGACCTGCACTGACCCTGCAGCTTCTGCTGCTAGAAACTTCTAATGGTTTTTTTTTTTTCCTTTTCGCTTACAAAGTAACCTCTTCCTTTCAAAGTCAACACTGACTTACCAGAGTGAGGGTTTGCACTTCTTCGTGCTACTAACCTTGAAGCTGATTTAAAAAAAGGTTCTCTGTGTCTGTAAGGATAACACAACCGTGTG